GATCCGGAGACCTCCTCCAAAGCGAAGTCCACCACCAAGACCCAGAAGAGCAAGGCCACCGCCATGCCCATCAAGCAGCCCAGCGCGAGAAGCTGCCCCGTGGCCCAACTCACGGGCCAAGTTGAACGAACATGGCCCTTGGGGAATCCCAGCACGTGCAGGCATGAAGACTCACAGAAGATGGCTGAAACCGGCTGACAGCTGTTCAGGGTTTAAGCTCCTGGTTAGGGTCAGGGTTTAGAGTTTCGCATTCGGGTCGCTAGGGTTGGGGTTTGGTTGGACGAGACACCTGGGTTCGTCGTTGCAACTCCTACGATAGCTCTACGCTTGTTGGAGCGGCGGTCGAAAGTAGGGCCGCAGCGCGGTTGGGGAATTAGGGTTGGTTGGGCGGGTGTGTGTTTGCTTTAGGGCTGGGTTTAGGGTTGATTCGGGCCCCATAGCATGTTTGAAGCTTGCTATTTTGGGTGGAATCGCGGTCGGCGTAGCCTTGTTTTAGGGTGGAACTGACCGAGCCGCCATCCGCTAACCGCCAACCGCCCACCGCCCGCCGCCAACCGCCAACCGCAAACCGCCAACCGCCAACCAACCCACCGCCTCAACAACCAAGTGCCAACCAACCCACCACAACCACCGCCAACCACCACCACTAGCACCACCACCACTAGCACCACCACCACCACCACCACCACCACCAGCACCACCAACCACCACCACCACACCACCACCAGCACCACCAACCACCACCACCACCACAACCACCAACAACCCACCAACAACCCACCACCACCACCACCACCACCACCACCACCCCACCACCACCACCACCACCACCTCAACCACCACCCACCACCCACCACCCACCACCCACCACCCACCACCCACCCACCACCACCCGCCACCACCCACCACCACCACCACCATACAGAAAAAGAGTTCCGGCAAACCTGTGGACAAACAAAGCTAGGGCCCGAAAGGCTGCCAAAGCCATCAAAAGCATGCAAAAACCACGCCGAAGCAGCTGAAAAAAGCGAAAACAAAAAACATCCCACAAAGAAACAGAAGCATGGATTTCCCAACGGCTTGGGGTGTGCTAAGGCATGATTTCTGCCCAAATCCAGTTCCGCAGGAATCCTGACGTTTGGAGGTGCCCACTTTGGGTTGCCAAATGGAACCTGCCCGTACCTGAGCAAGGCGATCACCTGCTGCACCTTTGTAGGCTTAAGGGAACGGCAAATCTGTTTCCGACAGGCTCAGGGCTAAGGGGCGGCTTGGTCGCAAAGAGCATCCATGCAAAGATACCATGAAGAAACCCAACGCCTTGAAGGCAAAACGGGCACTGTCTCGGATGGTCTTCCCAACCCTCTCATGCACTTGGGGTCGGACAAAGGGGTGTATTGCTTGATATGTTCAAGCCAGACACCCATCCGGGTACGGTATGCAGGACATAGTGTGATATAACGTGGTCGGATTGTGATCCACATTTATCAATGCAGCCACCCCGTCCCTCTCGGTACGCCTGTCGGCGTCGGGAGACCTGGGTCCTGAGCCTGCTGGGACGATGCTCCACCTCCTCGTTCATCCCCGACCCTGGACTTAACCTGGTGGATTGGGGGGGAAAATGGTGCGCCATGTGGAACCTTAGGCCCATGGCCATGGTTCCATGGGAACCCCTACAGGTCTGGGGTCAATGGCAAATGGATGTGTTACCCCATCAAGGCATTTGCTACGCAGCGCGCACAAAAACTCAAACAAATACAACATCATGGCTTCCAACCACACGCAGTGGCTAGCCTTTGGCTCTCTCAACCAGCAATGCGTCTCATATCTGAACAGGTATGCCTATCCAAGTGCAACTCCAAGTACATGGAGTCAGAATGTGGGATTGTCCTTTCCTCGATCGATGCATCCAATGAAGGAAGCAAATAAGTCCGAAAAACTACAGGTTAGTGCTCATCTCCACGCACAACCCTGGCACTAAGGCATGTAGCTCCGTCTGTAGACAACGGCCCTCTTCTCACCGACCGTCCTACTCCACTGATTCTCTGCGTCTTGGCCTTTGCTCTCACAACTGTATCGACTAAGCATACTGATGTAGACAGCCTACCCACCATTCCGCAGGAAGCAAGCTGGGCTCCCTATCTCCCCCCTTTCAACATCACTCCAAAGAAAACTCACTGTAAATTGGCAACCAAAAAAGGGAAACACAGGCACTTGGGGTCTGGGTCCCCTCGAATTCGTCCTCCAGGAACTGCGTCAGCTTCTCCACGCCTCCCACCCCGTGTGCCCAGAAGGGAAAACAAGAATCGGCGCCATGTTTCCGACCTGGCTGTTCACTTCGGAACCCCTCCAAAAAAAGGCAAAGGGCTCTGGCTGTCTGGGCCTCTTTCGTGCAGGACTCGGTTAGGAGCAAAGACCAAGCCCGGACGGTCCGGCACATCCCAGGAGTAGTAGGACGACCGCGGGGATTTCAGCGCCTGCAAACGAGTGCACGCACACTTGCTTGGAAGGATTGGTATTGACTAGTTTTGATCGGCCTGGATTGATTTTGCATCCAAGCCACCAAGAGGGAAGCTGAAATTCTCGCATGCCCAGTGCACACCAATCCAATCCAATCCAACCTAATCCGAAGCCAATCCAATCCGATCCAATCCGATCCAATCCGATCCACACCAGTCAAAACAGCTCTATACCAACAAAACCACTTCAGACCCCTCATGGATGGGATGTGAAGCCAAAGTGAGTTTCCCCAGTTGGATATGTTTTCTCCGCGGGTCTCAAGATGCAGGAGTCAGGTATCCCAAAATTGCTTCCCAGGGATACCCTGCCTTGGCCACCCACAAACTGCGGTTTGGGCCCATAAATAAAACTTGGGGTTGCGCAAGCATGGTCACAATTACTACCTCCGGCTCAAACGCATCTCCATACATGCGGCGAAATCCAGTCGGGCAAGCAAACAAATGTGGGGGCAAAACCTCCCGGAAGTGCAACAAACACCTGGCTATTTTGCAGGCCCCCGCACAAACGCGCTTGTGCCGTCACCAGCATCCAACAACACCCCAAGAACCCCCCGAGCACCCCACTGTCAATCCTGCAGCGATGCGCCCGCGGCATCACCACCCAAACAGCACCCCAAAGTAGCACCTGCATCAGCAACCCAAACTGCGTGCCTGCCGCCAATCTCGCACAAATGCACCGTCACCAGCACCTCCAATAGCATCCCAAACAACCCCCAAAACAGCACCTGCCAAAAATTCATGGCCCCCCAGCACCCGGGGTCCAATCTCGCAAAAAATACCCAAAACAGCACCTGCACCAGCACCCCAAACAGCATGCACCGTCCGCACCGTCACCGCACCTCAAACAGCAACACAAGCAGCAACCCAAAACAGCACCTGCACCAACACCCCACCTAGCACCCTGCCGGCAATCTCGCAAATCACTTTCTCCTCTTTAAGTTGCCCCGAAAGCTTTCAGCTATCTGGGGAAACCACATCGACGCGTGTCCACCATGCCCCTTATCCTCCACTTCACCCCACTTCAGCCCACATGGGGCTGTCTGTGCCCCATTTCCCTTCGCCTCTTCCTTCACCAGCATCCCCAGACACTGCTTTGGGCTCACAGACGTCGTGCTCTTTGAGTCCTTCGAGCTCTTGGAGCTCTGCCTCTGCTGCTCCGGCTGCTCGGGCGGGCACGGCAAAGATGGCAAAGAATCATCCTCCAGGAGCTGGGGCTTCAAGGACGGCTGCACGTGGCTCAGCGACTGTCCCATGAGCGCCATCGAGGTATCTGAGCTGGGGCTAAACATAAAATATAGAGGTAAGCTTTTGAAAGCTGCGGACACGTCAGCAATTCAACACGCCGCATGCCCTTGTGGTCTTGTGAAAGTAGCTGGAATGCCAGCTAGCTCCCAGCACCGCAAGTTTTAAAATAATTGCAAAACCCAACTTGAGGGATCGCCATACATCACTGTCAGCTTGTTATGCTCGTGTTACCCTCACCTTTTGAGCTCGCCATTTTCAGCTGGATGACCCAACACTACCCAACATATTTAGCCAACCTATGAATCTAACGAATACTTCTTCCCAAGAAAACTCCAGGTGAAAATGGAAACCCCAATTTGATATCCAAGCCCTCAAGATGCAACTCTAGTGGCAGGATCCCCTCGACTTTCGGAGATCTGGGGATGTCTTTGAGGATCCTTTTCTGTTCACTTTCTTTGGGGGGGGTCCAAAGGAAAACGGGCAAACCAGACCTACCACCTTCCCCTCCCCGCTCCTCGCCGGCACTTCGCCGCAGCGAGAACGGCAAGAGCCCAACGCTGCGGACAGTTCAGCCCAGGCGACCCTCCAAAGCACAGATCGAAACCACCAATTCGACGGAAGCTGAAGAGTGGGCTGTCAACCTATTTCTGTGTGGGTGTGGAGCGATGTGGGTGACCCTTCGGTGGACAGAAAGGAGAACTGGTAACACCTTTTGCTCAACCTTGGACAATCTTTTGTCGAACCTGGGGCGTGTTGTTCCAATCTTGGATGTTGTTCAATTCAACCCTTACAAAACAAAGCCACTGCGCAGAGCTGCGCAAGCATGGTGTGCTGAATGCTGTACAAGCGGGCATCTCGCAGCGGATTTCCAGACCATGTTGTGCCGCTTCAGATTTAAGTCTTCTCAAACAAAACTACGATGAAGTTTGCCACCCAGCGAGGACTCTAGATCGCGCAAAGCGCAAACGCGCGACTCCAGCATGCACATTTGGCCAAATCCGAAAGAGAGAACAGCATTTGTTGGGCATGATGAGTGGTGTCTCTGAATACAACACGCTTGGCAAATACAGCGTTCATCACCCTTCCTTTGAAGTGTGCGGCTTGAGCGAATCTTGGCTTGCCAGCTGAGGAAGGTAAAGCAGCAGTGCCCCCCAATGGAGCCAACTGCATGGACTTTGACAGACAATTTGCCTGGCTGGTAAGCACACACATCTGAGAACGGAGAACCAGGTCCCCGGCCAGCGGCCTCTGCCTAGGCAAACATGCGAGCGTTACCCTTGAGAGCATGGGAGAATTGCCGCTTCTTGTTGTTGGTTTGGTGGGAAATCCAAAGCTCGTCCCCCAATGTCCTCCCAAATTGAGCTTGACTACTGAATACTTGGACCAAATCTCATGTAGCCCCCCTCCCAGCCCCCATCCGCAGGATGGGCTTGCTGCACGTGCGTGGCGATCTCTCAAGATTCAAGCAGGTGCCCATGATGTTTGTTGATTGGAAGCCTGTGATCCGCGTGAAATGACTTCCTAGACCGGAGATAAAGGCATCCACTCGTGAAGGAAGTTCATCACGGGTGTTCGTTCGCTTTACCCCCAGAGCTCCTCATTTGCACATGTCGTGCAATGCAAAACGCTTCCCGCTCCCGCCTGGTCAATTGCACGGAGACCTCGCTCTCTCACTTCCCGCCTAAGGGCAGACAGTCAGTCCAATTGGTCGGAATGTCGTTGGGTTGTTGAATGGTAATCTGCTTTTGGGGAGTGGATATTGTAGTGGTTCCCGTTTACCCTCTACAGGAAGGGCTTCAAGCCCCAGGCCACCAAGCCAAATCAGTCGGGATCCAACTGAGATGATGGAACCTCCAAAATTCAAGATGGTTGGTTTTTCCTTTGGCCTCCATGTCCCAGTCTAAAAATGGGCACCCTCAAAACCAAACAAAAAAAAACACGCGCCGCCCATTCCAGAAACCCCCGGCTCAGGCGCCGGCAGGGCCGCGACACGGGCGCCGGAGGCCTCCCGCTCCAGGTGCAGCTGGGGCCACAGCCTGGCCCGACTGGTGCAGGGCAAGCTGGATCGCAGGACTTCTGACCGGAGCTGGTGCCCAAGTTCCGGCATTTTGCCGGGAATGGCTTCACCGTCTTTGGCCTGAAACCATGGTATCAAGGAATGCTTTGCTGGACATCATTTGTTTTGAGGACACCAATCAATCCCAATTTAGCATCCCGATTGCTTTTGGAAAGCCGCTGAAAGGGGACCCCGCTCGCAACCCAAGGTAAGGATTCAAGGGTTGCCTTAGAACAGCCCAGGTTTCGGGATCCCCTTAAAGGAAGCAAGGGATGACAAATAATTTATATGCGTCCCCGCATTCCCTGCGATTCCCAAATGGTTCTTGGCAGGGGATGAGGGAACGACCCCTACCAACCATAATTGTTGGCTTCCTCTTAGGGAATGAGCGCAAATGAGCGGCCAAAATTGCGATACCCAGGGCATGGGAAGCTTAAGGCTTGCCCTTTGGCTTTCGCGGGGGATGGGCCGCAGACTGCTGAAAGTCTTGCGCCTTGTTGAGGGTTCCAGCTTCGGGCCCCAAGGACTCCTGCAAGTTATGGAACAGAAAAAGGGCGTCCCCGACAAACTAAACATGATGGCTCCATGACAATATTTCTGCCGCCCGCTTCCACTCGTGATTCCCAAATCACGCAAGTCTCTTTCGCTGAGTTGAAACATGCGCACCTGGGTGTGAGCCTGTGGGAATATAAATTCCGGAGGGCTCTCCAAAAAATCCAGACTTCATGCGAAAATGGGTGGGGGTCGAGGGATCGGAGCAATAGCCTGAAACATTGGCCGTATCATCTGGCCCATTGCGGCCTACTCTGCGAGTGACTTTCTTCTCGCGGGGCCCACGAAGAACTGGCCCACCAGAAACTGTCGGTACGTGTCAAATGGATTTGGACCTCCAACTGGCTGGTTTTCCTTTCGATTTCTGTTACACTTCGACCTTACAAATGGGTGGTGTTCCCACAACGGGCCGTGTTCCTCCCCAAAATGAGCCTTCCACGAAAGAGGGTGCGGAGCTTCAAACTGACCTCCTTCTCCCCATTTCGTAACACGAGCAAGTGCCACTCCAGATTGGCCGGACAGCAGCGCACAGCTCGATCCAAGACCTGGCACTCAGCCGGAGTGCATTGCCCGTAGCCCCAAACCCAAAGCACCCAACACATACACACATACACACATACACACATACACACATACACACATGCACACATACACACATACACACACACACAAACACAAACAATACACCAGCATAGACCCCAGATAGCAATGATTGCACACCAGCACCTCCAACAGCACCCCCTGAAGAGTGCCTCAAATAGCGTCAATCGAGCGCCCACGAAATCACAAGCACCTGCAAGAGCACCCAAAAGAGCATCCCAAAGCGGCACCTGCAGCAGCACGCCGCCGTGCAGCCTACCGTCAAGATGCAAACGTGCGCGCGCACCGTCACCCCCAAAACAGCACCAGCACCCCAAACTGCATGCCCCCTAGCACCCTACCGTCAATCTTGAAAAGATGCCCCGCACTGCCATCAGCACCTCAAACAGCACCCCAATCAGCACCTAACTGCCTGCCCCCTAGCACCAGCCCATCAATCTCGCAAATTCCCCCTCTTTATTACAAGTTGGAACCTTATGGCTATCTGGGGGACAAACGCAAACACAAACACAAACTACACCAGCATAGACCCCAGATAGCACACCACGGCTACGAACCATGACGCAGCATTATCATGATGATTTAGACAACACCATGATGATACCACAGCCACTGAGCATGGCGCGCTACAAACGCGCATGCAACGTCCTAATGAGTTCAGCAGCATAATGATGATGTTGAAAGCATCATGCTGATACAGTTCTGATGAGTTCGACAGCATCATGATGATGCGGACAGCATCATGATGATGCGGACAGCATCATGGTGATGCAAACAGCATCATGCTGATTGTAAAGGCAGCATCATGATGATACAGCCACGAACCATCTTGTGACAGCGTATCAGCATCATCCTGATGTTGACAGCATCACGGCGCCACTACAACCACAAACCATAACGCAGCATCGCAGTGACCCCAGTTGCATCATGACGTGGTTGGGAACATCATGACGATACACCAGCCACGAACCGTTACGCGCGAACAGCATCGCATCCACCAGCCCCCGTGCCCCTCCACCAGCACCCCGGACTGCATGCCCCCTAGCACCCGGCCGTCAAGCTCGCAAAGCAGCATCCACCAGCACCCCAAACCGCATCCACCAGCACCCCAAACTGCATGCCCCTTAGCACTCGGCCGTCAAGCTCGCAAAGCAGCATCCACCAGCACCCCCAAACTGCATGCCCCCTAACACCCGGCCGTCAAGCTTGGAAAGCAGCATCCACCAGCACCCCAAACTTCATGCTCCCTAGCACCCGGCCCTCAATCTCGCAAATCACTTTCCACTCTTTATTAGAAGTTAGAACCCCTATAGCTTTCAGCTATCTGGGGAACAAACAAACACACAAACACAAAAACACAAAACAAATTACACCAGCGTAGACCCCAGATAGCACATCGCGGCTACGAACCATTATGCAGCATCATCATGGTTCCCGAGGCATCATGATGATGTTGACAGCATCATGATGATGTTGAAAGCATCACGCACAGCCACTCAGCATGTGCGCTAAATAGACACGAAGACAGCGTCCTAATGAGTTCAGCAGCAAAAATGATGATGTTGACAGCATCATGCTGATGCACCAGCAACGAACGATCCCGCGCCACATATCTAGCAGAAAAAAGGCAGAGACGACGTCCTGATGAGTTCGACAGCATCATGATGATGCGGACAGCATCACGATCATGCGGACAGCACCACCATGATGCGGACAGCATCATGGTGATGCGAACAGCATCATGGTAATGGTAAAATTGAAAAGGCAGCATGATGATACCACAGCCACGAATCTTCTCGCGACAGCGTAGTGAAATTCAGCATAATCCTGATGTTGGCAGCAATCATGGCGCCACCACACCCACGAACCATAACGCAGCATCGCAGCATCGCAGTGACAGCAGCATCATGACGCGGGTGACAACATCATGATGACACACCAGCCACGAACCACGCACCATGACAAACGACTGTTAGACTACTAGAGCAGCAACAACGTCCGAACCGGTTCAACACCCTGCCGTCCATATGCGCCCACACCGTCACCAACACCTCAAGACAGCAGCCCCAACAGCACCCCAACGCAGCACCCACACCAGCATTGAACAGCTCCCCGAGCACCAAGCACCTTGCCGTCACGTACTGTCACCAGCCCGAACAGCACCTCAAAACTGTACCTGCGCCAGCGCCCCAAAGTGCATGCCCCCTAGCTCCCAACCGTCGATCTTGCAACACAATCCCACTTCTTCATTAGAAGTTAGAACCCCGGCAACCCAACACAGCAGTTGCACCACCACCCCAAACTGCGTCAAGCTCGCAAAACAGCACCAGCACCCCGAACTACATCTGGCACCCGGCCGTCAATCTCGCAAAACAGCACCTCCACCAACACCCGAAACTGCATGCCCCTAGCACCCGGCCATCACTCTCGCAAAACAGGCAAACACTCTCGCAAAACAGCACCTCCACCAACACCCCAAACTGAATGCCTTTAGCACCCGGCCAACTCTCGCAAAACAGCACCTCCACTAGCACCCCAAACTGCATGCCCCCTAGCACCCGGCCATCACTCTCGCAAAGCAACACCTCCACCAGCACCCACTGCATGCCCCGTAGCGCTCGGCCATCAATCTCGCAAAGCACCTTCACCAGCACGTCACACCTGGCACCCGGCCGTCAATCAGCACCTCCACCATCACTGTCGCAGAACAGCACCTCCACTAGCACCCCAAACTGCATGCCCCCTAGCACCCGGCCATGCAAAACAGCACCTCCACCAATACCCCAAACTGCCTGCCCCCTAGCACCCGGCCATCACTCTCGCAAAACAGCACCTCCACTAGCAGCATGCCCTTTAGCACCCGGCCATCACTCTCGCAAAACAGCACCTCCACTAGCAGCATGCCCTGTAGCACCCGGCCATCACTCTCGCAAAACAGCACCTCCACCAACACCCCAAACTGCATGCCCCCTAGCACCCTGCCATCACTCACGCAAAACAGCACCTCCGCCAGCACCCCACTGCATGCCACCCGGCCGTCAATCTCGCAAAACAGCACCTCCACCAACACCCCAAACTGCATGCCCCCTAGCACCCGACCATCACTCTCGCAAAACAGCACCTCCACTACTAGCACCCCAAGCTGCATGCCCCCTGGCACCCGGCCGTCAAGCTCGCAAAGCAGCACCTCCACCAGCACCCCAAACTGCATGCCCCCTAGCACCCGGCCCTCAATCTCTCAAATCACTTTTCCTTCTTTATTAGAAGTTAGAACCCCTATAGCTTTCAGCTATCTGGGGAACAAACGAACCAACAAACAAACAAACACACACACACAAACAAACAAACAAACAAACAAACAAACAAACAAACGAACGAACGAACCAACCAACCAACAAACAAACAAACCAACAAACACACACACACAAAGACAAAGACAAAGACAAAGACAAAGACAAACGCAAACACAAGCACGCACGCACGCACGCACGCACGCACGCACGCACGCACGCACGCACGCACGCACGCACGCACGCACGCACCCACACACACACACACACACGCACACCCACACACACACACACACACCTTCCTTAATTCCCATCCGCCCCCCTCAAGTAGAAGAAAGAGCTTAGCTTTTTGCAGGTGTTTGGGAAAGGGGGACATGTTCCCAAACAGCTGAACGTTCCCTAAAAGATTAAGCCGAAACTCAGAAGGTTGCGAGGACGTGAAAGTCGCTGCTGTTCGCAGCTGGGGGCTTGCGACTTGGATGTGCCCCTCCCAAGAACAAGGCATGTTCGGGCACGCAGGCCACGCACATGGAGCCATGCAAACTGCATGTCTGCTCACTTCTCTCTCGCTCTCTGCATTGTCTTGGTTGTTTCTGAAAAATATGGGCCCCGTTTTGGTCTGGTTTCAACAAGAAGCCTTAAGGAAACCAAAACTTCTGGAGGGGGCACATCAAGTTGGAGGTGCATCGCAGCACGCGTCAGGCTCGGTGAGCAACCATTACCTGGGATCCTTTTGCAGACAAACTGCTTGCCCTGCCGAGGGCTGCCGGAAACTCAAAGTCTGGGAAGCTTGCGGTCCAACCATCGCATGCTCGCGCGTAAAGTATTCGTGGCAGAGGGCACTGTGAGAGAAACACTCGGCAAACCTTTCAGGCGCGTCCAAAATCAGATTTCAGTGCGATTCATATGGATGCTGAATCCCGCGCCGGTTTTCCAATCCACCCCCGTAATGCTGGTGGCCCGCGGGCCGACCCGAACTTCACCTAAGCAAAAATCCGGATGAAGAGGTGTGACACACACATTAAGCAGAAACACCAAATACGACGTCAAACCTCAACACATGATCGTCTAGGCTTGTACTTTTCATCAAGAGTTCAATCTGAAGCAATGGCCCAGTCCGCAAATTGCGTTTCAGACCGAGCGTTTGAAGAATCATTGAAGGCCACAGGCACAAATACCTCAAACCTCCAGTGCGCATTTCCGTGTTGACCGCCGGGTAGCCGTCCAATCAACACGCAAGCCCGCCCACGGCTAAAGACCCCGTCCAAGCGAATGCCCCAAACGTTGCACACCTCTGCAGCCAGGGAGTGGTCGCCCATCCCGCCTGGCCAAAGCACCCTGTGGCTGGGGGGCTCGGTGGTTTGGGTGGGAACTAAGGATTTGAACCTCTTGTCTATGCGGGCAAATAAGAAACCACCTTCCGGAACATCTCCAAACCACCAAACCAAAACATCAAAGAGTAGCGAAGCGCTTCTTTGAGGGTACCCTGTGTGAGGTTTTAAAGGGAAACCTCAAGGAAACAACGCTTTTTGGGGGGTTCCCCAACTTTTAGGCACACCCACACGTGCTCAAAGGCTCTCGACCCAGGGGCTCTCTCCACTGGCCCCAAAACGTCAGCAACACCGCCTGCCACAAAGTCGGCGAAACGCTTCCACTTGGCAACGTCCTGGCCGTCCGTCGGGCCGTCAGCATGTGGCACTTGACATTCGGCATCCATGCATCAACCCAAACTTGGGAACAACTTGAAACGGCTGAGCTGGCCCGGGTTAAGACCTGGGCGAGCGTCGCACAATGAAGTCCTCCCTGTAATTCTCAAAACCCCAAGAAACACGGGGATCACAGGATTCCTCCATAAAAAGTTGCACGTGGTGTTCATTGAAAACTGCCACTTTGGGATTTTGCGGGCACTTCAACCCCCCCTCCAAGAAAAAAAGAAGAAAGAAAGAAACAACCTCCCGGACACTGCCAGCCCAAGCAAGGGTGAACCTCCCTTCGCTAATAGCCAAAGAAAGGGCGAAAACCTCCACGCCTTGGGCGAGAACTGGGTGACCCGCAAATGCGCTGTGAAGATCCGGGCCTGCAACATCCACCAAGTCATAGGGGGGTGATGTTTTCAGGGGACCTGTTTTTGGGTTTGCGAGGTTTCTTTTTGTTTAAGGAAACCAATGATTTTGGGGTTCCCTCAAAAACATGACAAACCCAAACAGGGTCTGGCAAAATGAAACATGGTCAACCCTCTTTTGGTGTCCTAAGACAAGCCAACCAGACAAGGGTGCCTTCAAAAAAAGACACCCCCATGTATACTGATTCAGACAGCATGCGAAAGGGTTGCCTTTTTTGAGGGTGTCCTTTTTGGGGTTGCTTTTAAGACAAGACCATGCTTGGGGCCCTATTTGAAGACCCACCCATCTGATTCAGCCGAGTGGAATACAAATTGCCCACGAAATATAAATCCTTTGCCTTTGCGTAGTAATGGGGAACACTCTAAGAATGGTTTGTGAGCATGAATCCCATAGTAAATGACGTTGAACGGATCCCAACAACAAACTGCACACATTCAACCATATCGGTGGATCAGAAGAATTCCTCAAAGTCAACCTGAAGGTCCAATTTTCCTGGGTACCACTCCGTGTGCCAAGACCAGGAACCCCTTTTGGGCTGCTACGGAAGATACACCCAATTTGGTGGGCGTCTGCCTAAAGGGGCCCCAGCCTTCCAGTTCGGGACAGGCGATCAATGCGAATTGCCTTCCACTGTCGCAGCTGCTTGGGTCTTCTAAACTTTAGGGTCCCCAAATTCGGGGATTGAACAAAAAACTGGTTGAACAAGACCTGCTTCACTTCGACTGGTGTAGCTTCACAGGTTCCAAAATCAGTGCCCAAAGATCTTGGAAGCGCATGGCACAAAGCCCTTCTGATCGTGGCCTCTTGGCTTGTGATGGTGGTGGCTTGGCTTCTTTTGGTGTACCCTCTACCAAGTTGATGGGGATCGTTGCACGCGTGACGTGCTTGGAATTGTAGCTTCCTATGGGTGTCTCAAAATAGCGGAGCACCAAAATGGGTGGTTTTCTGGTTCCCCCTAGACCTAGACAACCCCAAGCAGGGGGCCACCCCCAACAAAGCAACTCCATATCTCAAATACTGAAACATCATGCCTAGACCACTGTAAAGTGGGATCTGATTGAATGTGTTCCTGTCAGGTCGGGTTCGTCATCCCGCCCTTTCACAGGTCATCAGTGACTTCGTGAAGTCACAAGGAAATGCATGTAGCTGGCTTTCACCTTTGTGGAAAAAACCGCGAGGTGCTTGAAAGGGAGAAAGTGGCGAGCGACCAAATGCACAGAGATTTTTCGCGCAAACCTGGTGAGACGTCTGATCTATCCTGCGCCCCGCTGCTTCTTTTTGCAAGTGCGAGTGGCCACCGCAGCTTCCCGCGCGTGGGTCAGTGCATGGGTTGGTGGACTGCCTTACTCTTTCACCCGTCGTGAGGGCAGCCGCTTCTTCTCCCTGCCAGCCAGTTTCTTCTCCCTCCGCTCCTGGAGCGACAAAAACCCTGGTGAAAGTAGGCACAACTTCCCGAAGGGTAAAAGGGATGCAAACGAACATGGAAGGCTGTGCTCCTGCGCAGTGTCCGACTGTCTAGAGTCTAATCTATTCCCCACCAACTGGGAGTGGGATAAAATGCCTTCCTTTCTTTGTGAGCATCGTGTCTTTGGTATCCCTCGTCCTCCTGCTTGTTGCGGGAGCTCCCCGTCTTCTCCTCCTGGCAAGCCGCAACTCTGGTTCGTCCAAATTTCAAATTTGTGATTCTGTAAATACCCTCAGTGAAAGACCGCCATGATGAGTGGGCTGGCTCGTTTTACCCCTCGCGCCTCCTTGCTCTTCTGTGCGAGCAGCTTCCTCGCCTCCTTGCGGCCGTGGAAGAAGGGCACCTGGCAAGGTCCGAGTGACTGAGGAACGGACGGTTTTGCCGTCTACCTTCTCAAAAAAAAAGCTTGTTATTTAATGCACGGCTTTACACAGAGGACAAAAGGAAACCAACCTCCTGGACGGGTCCCTACTTTTGAGAAACACCTGTCAGGGCTTCAGAAGGAAGAGCCGCTTTCTCACACAGCAGGAAGTCCAAGATCATGAATGAGGGTTCAGCATGCTTCTCAAGTCAAAGCGCTGACACCCTGTTGGATCAGCAAAACATAAAGGTATGTGTCCCACTTTATTTCGCAAAATATCCTCCCAGAACAAGACGCTTGCACGACATTGAAACATGCACGCGCTGTCAACCGACAGCAGCTTGCTTCAAGCAGTACATCAATGAAACCGATCTGACAGTCTTGCATTCAAACGGTGCATCCGTTTGTGAGACTTCAGCCTTCCCGACCTGCCGTTTGTTTGGTCTCGGGGGCTGTGACTGGCTTATCGAGCCTCTGGCTGTCGTGAAAGGCTTGTCTGCTTGACGCAACATAATCAAGAACAAGTGCCGGTGCTGGAAATGAGAGATGAACCATTCACTGCGCTTCTTGCTCTAGCTTCATCTTCACAAAACCGCTGGAACTGTAAGTGGGCCTTTCCAGGGGTTGAATAAGGGAGCCGGAGATGTTTGAACTGGGTTCATATTAGGCAACATCCTCATAAACTTACCTTCAAAATGGTAGTATGGAGGGATGTCCCATGCCCAAAAGTAATGAAATGAGAATGGGTCCCTAAACACGCCACCACTTTCCCTATCTCTCCTTTTTCTTTCTCTCTCTCTCTCTCTCTCTCTCTCTCTGTCTCTCTATGTCTCTCTATGTCTCCCTCCCTCTCTGCCTTTCCAACCAACGTGGGACCATGCAACCACTTTACTAGACCCAGCCACATCTGATCCGCAAGCCATGGGAGTCCGCAGAGTCCGACGCACTCGCCTTGCCGGTGGTCTTCACCTTCTCCTGCTCCGCTTTCTTGAGGCTCCGCTCGGCATCGCTCAGCTGCCCCAGGTGCTTCCTGAGCACAAAAGTCTGGCCCGGGAGAAGGGGCTCTGGGGTTGAGGGGATTAGTTTGCTCTCTTTTTTTTGTAGGGGCGTGAGGGCGTCGGGCTCGAGGGATCAGATTTCTAACCTTCCGGACAGCGGCCATCTGGCAAACCTTTGGCCCCAGCCAATTCTTGTCGTGCCTCATTTCTGGGTATCGCTCGCCAGCCCCATCCACGTCCAACGGCTTCAAAATAAGTTGGCATTGTTTTTTGCATGAGCATGCCTGGGCCATCCTATCTCCAACCCTTCGTCCAGGACAGCAGTCGTTGAGCACAAAAAATCGTTCCTGCTGCCAAAACAGGGAACTTTAGTCTTGGCAAGTGTGAAATCGCCTGTCAAACGGGAAATCATGCGTTGCGATGCCTGATGCACTGCTTCAGACCCGCACAATGCAAGTCTCTTGCACTCTTTGACTCCTTGTTACACCAGCCAGAAGGCTGGCGAGGACAAAACTCAAGGGGCAATTCCTTGTTTTTGGATCATGGGCGCGCAGGAGTGCGGTTGCTGCAGCGCAAGGCGAAATCAGTGTTCTGGCCCTTCAACTGAACCAACGTACTTAGGTGTTGTGGCTCAAGCAAAAGGAGCGGCTTGCGACCTTTGGCAAGCATGCCCTTCTTGCCAAATGCAGCCAAGCTGCAGGTCCAAAACTCCACTAATAAACCAAATGCCGTTGGTGACAACGAGTGAACGGAGAACACCACTCTAACACGGTTTTCCACTCCCGCCAAGAGACTATCCCGAGGGGAAAGCCGGGTATGTATCCTGTCTTAGCGGCTGTGGAGTGGTTGTATCTCCCATTGAACCCCTGCAAACCATCTTACACTGACACATTCCGCAAGCCATGCTATTCCCCTCGGCGCGAAACCGAGCTGCCTGCCTTTGCTTGTCCTGCTGGACGCGACGCTTGATCCTCGGTGCGGGCCGAGAGCACACGCAATGCCGGGTTTTGAGTTTGGGAAGGCAGCTTGGGATGCTGAAAGAGGTGCACCGCAAGCAGGATCCTTGTGGATCCTGGAATCACTATGCAGAGACGAAGCTTCCGCAGGTGCATCATTTTTTCAATGACCAGCGTGCATGAGAAAGTTAACGACCGTTATGCGGCTGCTTTTTGCAAATCCAAGCTTCTCCCTGTTCAACTCCATCTCCTGCTCAGCAAGAGCTTCATCCTCAAGACAACGTGTGACATCGCGTTTGTGCGTTGGGAATGCTCAGGGGGAAGGGCGCAGTTGCCATTCACGGACAGCTGTAACAAACTCTCTACGGTCAATTATTAGGGTGTTTCCTTGCTTGGTGTGGTTGGTTGTGGATGGCATTTCCAGCGCGTTCAGACGGAACGCATTACCTTGGGACTAACCAATGGACAATTCATAGAGCGCAAGCCCCGCAAAGGCATAATGCCCTTTGCGTCTTCGCCAGGCATAGCACCAAGCAGCCGAATCGGAACGTATTTGTGCGAGGGGTTTGCTGCAGAAAAATGCTGGCCGTTACACAAGCTAGCATCCAACGCTCCTCCAGTGTCACGCTCGCTTGCTTGCTTTCCACGGACCCACAGGCCCACGTGCGCATATGCGTCCGTGTGTGTGTGTGTGTGTCTCTATGTATGCATGCATGCATGTATGTATGCATGAATGTGTGTCTGTCTGTATGTATGTGCGTATGTACGTGTGTTGCCCGCATGTATGTGCATGTGTGTGTGTGTGTATGTATGCATGCATGCATGCATGTATGCATGTATGTATGCATGTATGCATGTATGTATGCACGCATGCATGTATGTATTGTATGTGTGTAGATATGTCTGTAAGTGAGTATGTAAGAAATACGTATGCATTCATTTGCGTATGTGCGCATATAATTATGCAGGTGCGCATATGTTTGTGTGCGTGCACGTATGTGTCGATGCACTACTATACACATGTATGTATGTATGTATGTATGCATCTAAGTACTTATGTGTGTACGTGTGCAATGTATGTGTGTGTGTGTGTGTGTGTGTCTGTGTGTGTGTGTGTGTGTGTGTCTGTGTCTGTGTCTGTGTCTGTGTCTGTGTCTGTGTCTGTGTCTGTGTC